TTTGAACTTAGCGAGTGCGTAAGAAACAATTCTGATGAATGTGCTGATAAAACGTTACTCATATAATCGCGGCCGTGTAAGAAGTGTGGTCATTCGTGTTATTTCCATTTGCTGGACTATTATCAGATGAACTCGGCCAAATCTGACCAGTATTCTCCAAAAAAAAGGTTTACTATTAAATCTAACAAAGTATAGAGGATTCCAACCATTTCTATACTCTTTAGGTTTCGTATGATATCTGGGATTCACCATTCGACTACAAGAGTCACTAAGTGTTTTGAAAGATAAATCGTTTCGTACTGCCGCTTGGACATCTTTTTTATGTTTTGGTAAAAGCAACCCCGAATCTTTTCGTGAAGAAGTTATTCTTCGGGTTCGTACGACACCTCTATTTCGTCAACAGCCTACGAAACCGTATTCCAGAATTTGTCGCCGTTCGACAGCTCTACTTTTCGACAGACAGTTTTCGACGGTGTCAGATTTTTCGCTCGAAATTCTTCGATAGTGTCGAAACACGCTGTCGAAAAGTGTTTGTGTTGAACTACGAAATTACCATATTTCATAAGAAGTTTACTGCAAAAACACAAAAAACTAAAGATTTGGTAGTGATCCTTTTTTAGAGAGTACATAACATTGAACTATTGATATTAGTCGCCAGTCTCGTGCCGAGCACACACCATTATGTTTGCAAGTACTTGATGTTGTTCTATAAAAAACCAAGTACAGGAAACACATCTCAAGTATTTGTATGCTTGTAAATTTTTCCAAGTACTTGCTCAAGTACTTTATCAAGTACTATTTTTGGAAAATACTTGCGAAATTTCTATAAGGCATGTTCAGTACTTGCCAAGAACCAGCAGAAATTTGCAAGTAAGGAAGTATCCACTCGCAAGTACATACTTATTTGGAATTTTCGACCTTTATGATTATTTTCAACAAATATAAGACAATTTTAAAGATAGTAACGTAATAAACTGTAAGATGAAGCAGAGAATTGTTTATTTTTAAATTAAACGTTTGTTCTTGTCTACAGGTTTTCTCGACGTATCTATTTCCACAAACAGGACACTTTGCTTCATATGTCAATCTTGATTGTAATTCATCCGGTAATCTATCTTTTAATTTAAATCATTTCCCAATAGTATTACCTGTTGTATGCACTAGTTCCCCTCCTATAATAGAAGACCAGTGGTCTTCTACTGTGTCCGCCCAAAAAAAGTCGAAAAAGCTTTCTAAATTAGAAAGGTATAAATGAGAATTGAACAATGAACATATTAATAAATCTACGAACAGTTGCATAAAATCAACTGGAACACATTTTTGTAACTGAAAAGATGTAAAGCGATAAATTGCAAGATAAGAAATTATACAATGAACAAATTGACATACTACTTCTGGAATTTCTTTTGGTATTCGAAAAATACCAAATATAACTGTATAATGAGGCTGTTGACTAGTAGTACCAATGTCAAGCCAACTTAGAGTGACTTTTAGATAATTGCAATATTTTCCAAACCATGTTCCATTCTGTACAACGCGAAACCATAATGTTGGATTTTTTTAATCAATCGTATCAATTACACTAGGATTCGAAATTATTAATAACTGAATCTGAATGAAAATGTTTTGTTTTGTTGAACTATCGAAAATGTTATCAGATCATCAATTACTGTGCTTATAGACTAACGCATATATTTTTTCTCCATTTATTACTTGAAGTTCTGTCATCAAACCCGCAGAATTCTTTGCGATTTATGCCTTTACCAGTACCCTTTCTTTTTTTTCCTATTTTTCTGTTAAGGTGGTCGGATAATTTCAACGTCTTGGAATATTCTTCTGCTTGTATTCTAAAAGAATAAAGCTTATATCAAAACAGAACACAAAAAACATACCCAAAAAATTACTACTAATAACATCGAGTCGGTTACACAACTTCAGTCATTGTACAGAATATAGATACAGAATAGCGAATTCAGTTTTGCAGTTTACTACACAGCTAAGTTCATGTGTTGCGTCTCTATTCGTACAAAATTGATTGTGTGTTTTTCGATGACTAAATTCAGCCTCTCATCTAAGAATAATTTATTTAATTCATTTCGATCTACAGCACTTTTTATAGAAAAACAGTTAAATTCATAAAACGTACAACATGAAACAGATACTGTAAGCCAAATACTTAGGCTGCTGGTGTAGTCATCGTTGTTCCCATCTCTTATCTTTGAAAGTAATGATGACGAATGTTATTTACCAATGGTACAGGCAAAGGCTGGAATATTTATAGAGACGGTATTATGTCGTCTCACTTCAGCCAGTATATCATGTTTAGATTGTTCTAATTTGGATGAAAAAAGACATTTAGAAGAGAAAAGAAAACATTTCCGACCATCTCATAGAAGTTGAAAATGCTTTCAGCTAGGTTGGTTGAACTACCTTTCTAAATGGTTTTCATGAAACTGATACAAAATTTTCCGTTTCTTGATGTTGGCAAACGTTTTCAGATATCCGTATCGTCGGTTTCGAGGTAAGCAAGCGCTTAAAGCAGTACCCTCTTTCCTTTTCTAAATATATTTTATGCTCTTTGATTAGATATTTCAACAAATGGATAAGCTACTTGTATCTGCGGTTTTCAAAGTTTCCGATATTTATTAATGCGAATTATTGCAACAATTCGCATTTACATTCGCAACATTTACATTCGACCCTTTTAAATTTCCCAAATGTAGCTCTGATACATCGATTCGTGTCCGGTTTACACTCCACGCCCACAGCAAATCAGACAGTTACGGATAATAACAAAAATACACTATAGCTGAAAGCCACTATGATCTAACATCGTTCTGACGCTTCATTAGCTAATGAATAGCTAATATACTGCATAGAACGATGTACGATGAAGGATTAAATTATGGCTTTAAAGAAGGAAACTCTGCGCTGAATATATGATCGTTTATCAGATATTTCGAAACTAATACCTTGTCAACTGTTCATGAAAATGGTATGAATAAGAACTCATTTGAGTTGTTTGAGAAATAAAAAACGTATATTTTGCCTTCTAACGAAACATAAGTTTTTCACCTTGTTTCAGTTCTTCAGAAACGGAGTTTTTCACAAAAAATAAAACACGACTTGTATTTCAGGTTCTTCGAAGATTTCGAAACTTAAAAAAGGAAAAAAATCACAAATGTTCATCACCATTTTTGTTTTCTGCGCCTAATATATAGAAGTCATATACTTTTGTACAAATCTGTAAAACCACCTTTCTAATTTTAAAAATTTCAATTAAAATAAGGCTCTTAATATTTTACAAATTTCATCTTGATTACTTGCTATACATTTTAAATTTTTGATTGTTGTTGACAATGTTAAAAGACAGTTTGTCAATGTCTGCCGATCATAAGTTGTGAATCGAAGTGTTTAGAGAAGTGTCAGAGCAGCAAATTCCGACCTTACCTAAAACTTTCAAGCGTTCTCATACTACTAGCTTAAAAGAGCGTACAGAGTTGAATATTTCTATTTGTAAATGAGATTTTCTCCTTTGACATGTCGAAAAACGTTTTGACTGGAAGGCCCTATACACATTAGACTCATTTTATACCATGTTTAACGAGCTCAAAACCTAATGAAACATAACTTTATTAATAATCAAATAAAAGAGACGTCCAAGCTTGTGAGAATGACGCACGAATGAAGTCTCTAGCATTCTTTGCTTCGTCATGGTAAGCTTAGCCGTGAGACCTACTTTCGCTCTTCCAGACCTACTCCCTCGAACACTACACGTCAACTCTTCAAGATACTGTTATCCTACACACTACTCGACCAGTAATACAAAAGCCGCTACACCTTGACTCTGGTCAGGTGATTTTTCTCGTGGCGGTTTTCTAGAAATTCGATTGAAATCCTAACTTTCTCATAAATATTATATCTAGACTAGTGTTGGATTCATCTGCAGCGTGTAAATTAAACGATGATTTCGCATTTTTCACCGCCACAAGAAAAATCATCAAGAGAGTGAAACACTAGCGGCTTTTGTAGTACTAGTCGAGCAGTGTGTGGGATAACAACCTCTCGAAGAGTTGATTGAAGTACTTATTATTATCAGGAACGCAGAAAAATGCTAAATTATCTAAAATTACTAAATTAGCAAAGAGACGATGCGTCGGATAAAAAAACGGATTATTTTCCAGTGTTAGCTGACACCATAAGCTAGCAATTGCTAATAAGAAAACATTTTCTTATTGCTCATTAGAAAACATTCTACAAGAATTTCAAATTTGCTTTATGTAATTCGCGGTTTGACGTATATATTGTCTTCACATATGTACAGGTTTTCTTTTCACTGAAGATGAATCTGTCGATTCGAAAGCTCCGGTTCAAATAAATTTCACGATCAAAACACATTAACTGCAAAAGATGAATAAATTCATTCTACCAGTTCTGCCACTATCATTTAAGTTGACAATTGTAGATAAATCGTTTAATTCAACTCAGCAGAGTGTTGCACATCAAAGGGTGAAAACTGATTGTTAAGCAATTCAGACTTTTCTCACTAAAAGATTTTACGAGAAGAAACAATGCATAGTAACTTTTTTAGGGTGCTTTGTATGAGGATATACTTCAAAAATTTCTTAAACATCCATTTACAATAAGAACAGACGAGAAAAAGCAAAATACGAAAATTTGCTGTTTGTTGGAAAATTTTGCTGATGACGAAACCTGACAGTGGACAAAAATGCAACGTTGCATGATGTCATGAAAAAAGTTAAAAATGAATTCTAAAAGAATATAAAATGAAAATGGTAGTTCACTTTCTTCAATTAGAAGAGTAAACTGACAAAGAGAATTGTTAATAAAAGTTTTACTATAAGAGGACATATGAGCCATTTTCTCGTTTTTTATTGTAAATAAATATTTGAAGTGTGTTTTCATACACAACAACATTAGCAACACTTTTTCTTCTCAAAAAGTTTTAGAAAATGTTTCCATCTGAACTTGCAAATTTCATGATAATTATATGCGATACGTTAGATCGATATATGAATATTGATAAGAAAATTATACAATGCCACGTTATTGATGATGTTGCTGATCTTATACAACACAATAAACATTTGAAATTAATCATTTTTATTCCATCATATGCTACTCTTCTACCAGAAGTGCGACAAATACTCATTAATAGCAGTCGGTATATTCATTCATTGTATGTCTACAGAAATAATATAATTCCACCATTAACATTAAATTTGCATGAAACAATATTTTCTGATCAATATTTCTATTCTTATTTAATGTTGGTTCAAATGGAAATGTATTATTTACAAGCGAATGATTATCATCGAACAAACGAAAATGCCTTAGCAAATTTGTGTAGACAATATGCTATCGAATTATCAGAAAATATGGATCGTTTATGTTTAATTTCGGAAGTAGAGTCGTCTCACCCATAAAACTACCATAGAACTTTTTATCTATATTTCCAGTCAACTATTCAATGTAATTAATTAATACAGTCTGTTTTTGCAGTTGCAAATATTAGGCATTATTCACATCTACGCTCGCTTCATAGACGATATACTGTATTATTAATTTATTTTTATTATGAAGGCAGTATGAGAATAAAGCTGTAACTTTTCTTTACCCTATAAATACAACTTATTGTTAAAAAACAATAAAATGACTCATACTTTCGCTTCCATTCGCTATTATACTTTACGAAAGTTTCATATTCATTCATGGTATGGTTGAAGAGATATATTTCCGATCTTATCGTTTCTTACAAAACATTGAAATATGAAGTCCAATGCACTTTTCGCTTGCCGCTAGGTAATTCGAATAAAAGAGACTTCTAATGCTAGACAAACATAAAATAGATGTATTACTAATATTGAAGAGAGAATAACATCTTCAACGATGACGCCTTTTTTTCCTTTCTGTCTGATCTCTCTTTTATTGGCATATATATAAAGAAAGAAAATGAAAATAGAGAGATGAAAAAGTGTACCACAGTCAGTATAATACTAAAAGATCACGCACACACACATGTGATTTTTCTAATCCACGTCTAATTCACAGTCAAAATGGCGAAAGTACAGTGGACGTTCGCCAATTGGTAAAATTCCAGGGAACGATTGTCCTGTTGGCGAAAGTCTTATTTGACGAGATTCCGGAACCCCATACGCCGCTGCCTTTTATAACACTTTTCTGTTTGTAAACCAGTACAATCTGTATTTGCGGTGCGTTCCAGGTTCTATGATTCAAATCCAATGATCACAAAACTATATCTCTTTAACCACATTATGTATATACATGAAAGCTTCGTAAAGTATAAGATCATAGCTCGGTCTGCAAAAGTTCACGTTTCGTTCCATGAATGTGAATGCTAAAGCACTGGTGGACGTGGGCGTTTTCTATACGAACGGTGTTCATATCGTCTGAAGTGAATATAAACTTCTGTTCTTGTACTGTAGTAAGAACATATATATGTCTGCTTGGTCTTATCTGATCAATAGAAATTCTAGTGAAGCATCAGGTGATCTGCTCACGGTAGTGATCAGATTATTGCAATGTAAAAAGGATACCCCTTTATTCTCTGATTAAGACATTGATTCTTCCAAGAACAGATCACAGATTTCCTGAGCAGAAGACTAGTTTTTCCGGTACTGGAACCGAAGTTCCTTGGTCAAAACCATTACACTAACTACATACGTTTTTCTTTGTTATCCTAACCCATTTGGGACAAACGAGCGTTGATTTTTCACTAAATATAACTGGTAATGGAGAAAGCTATTTCACCTGGTATACTACTAGGTGAAATTGCTATGTAACGTTTTGCAATACTATTTATTCCACACAGGATCAACACCGTTCATATAAAATAACGTTAACGTTCATCAGAACATCCGCGTTCACGTTCAAAAAACGTCATGTTTAGCGTTCACGTTCAAGGAACGCCAACATGCTTTAGCGTTACGTTCAAAGAGAACGCTAAAAAGGAACGCTCAACTTTTGCAGGCCTAATCATAGCACAATGGGCATGTGCCATAAAAGTAATGCGAAAACCTCGAAACACTAATTTTATAGGTTTTCGAATGAGCTCTTTCCAATGGTGTAATTTGCAAGGTCAAAGATGTTGTTATTAGGCTTTTCCAGAGGTCCGGTCTCTGGAAAACCACGCTAAAAGTGTTTTGAACATTGTAGATCCCACCATTGGAAAGAGCGCATACGAAAACCTCTAAAAATTCGTAGGCTTTCAAGTTGCTTCTAAGACAAAAATCCTAGTGCCTACACTGTAAAAAAAAATGGTTTATTACGAAACCTAAAAGGGTATAGAGAATTGCAACCATTTCTATACCCTTTTAAGTTTCGTACGAACCTGGCTTCCGGCGTTCAGCTACGAAACCTCTATTTTTGTATTGACGAAAAAGGTTTCGTACACCGGTTGTATTAAACCTTGTCAAAAAAGGTTTCGTACAAACTTGATGATTATATTTCGGCTACCTCTCAACCTCTTCAATCAGGCCTTTTGTGTTTCTTAGCTAGCTGATTTCATGTATTCTTGTAAAGCTCTACCTTGAGGGCTGTATATCGGTAGTAACCGCAAGTACATTACAAACAGATTTCTCCATTTGATCTCTACAATCCATGCAGAAAAATTCTATACGTAATTAGAATCATTTATCTTAAACCATTTTAAAAGTGCATTTTTTCTAATTTTTAAAGCAAAGAAATTATACTGAACATCTAAGTAGAGTCATTTCCTATGTAGAGCTGGGCAAGTCAAGTCAAGTCATACTTGACTTGAGAAAAACGTTTTAGGTTCTCTGACTTGACTGACTTACAGAATCTTTTCGTTGACCTGAGACTTGCCCAGCTCTGCGTGATACAAAAGCAGGGAAAAAACGAGCTTCGAGCAAATACCAGTATATGCTTACATTAATGGTACAAAACTGTTTCAAAACGCCTGAAGCCCGATATTGATATTAACTGCAGACAAAAGTTTATTTCTTTTCGTTTCATTGATTCTTTATTAATGTTTATTCAACGGTTAATCAAAAAAAATATCATATAAAAATAGACAACTGCTACGAAAAAGACTATGTTTTTCGTAATTTTCTTCCTCGTAACTGTCTTTCGGTCACTGGGGGGACTGGTACTTTTCTTTTTCTTCCTTTTGTCACTGTTTGTTCGTCATCTTTGGTTAGTTCTACAGTTTTTGTTGTGGATTGATCATCTTCTTCCGGTTGATCAATCGTTGAAAATTTACTTCGGTCAATAATTGTTTGTAATCGTCTTGATATACGTGATGGTTCTGATCTGGATCTTTCATTATTTGATGCTGGTGCATTTTCTTGTCATGATCGAAAGGTATATGACAGTAATGCTTTTCGTCGAAATCAGCTTGAAAATATATAAGCAGAAATTGTATCTACAAGAAAAACTGGGTCTACATTCTGAGGTATATATTAAAATTCTTCCTGAAAATAAGAGAAACAGAGAACTAGTTCACAATATTCCTGTTTAGTTTTTCACGCTGCATCTTTCTGTCACAGTCTGACTTAATTTCTTTCAGTCGTTGATGAATAAAAGACAAAACAATTCTGAAAAACTGGGTCTACAGTCAGTGTGTAATTAAAGCTTTTTGGTCTTTTGGCCTAATTAAAAAAAGTTTACCACAACTATTTTTAGATAGCTTTGTAGTATTTTTTACGCTCTATCTTTTATTCGTTTTGGTTTTTTTAAAAGTGTGTTCCTTGCCCGCTCTACGATCGTTTTAAACTGGGTCTACGCTTTGTCCGTAAATCTGTTTTCGTCAAATCGA